CAATTATTACCTGGGACGATGAATCTTTTTAAATGACAATTTTGGAGAAACAGTATTTACAGTTAAAGCCCTCGGCGGCATCCAAACTCCTGTCTGAGAACAGAGGGATTCAAGTTTTTAATTAATCTCAATGCCAGCATCCCTGAGGACACACACACACACACACACACACACACACAAATACTCACTACTCTATTCCGTACACACACACACACACACCCAGGCAAAACCCACACAATGCAGACTGTAGCAGGAAAATTTAGGCGTGACAGGCAGAGAGTGGCAAAGCGACACATCAACCTTTGCGTGAACGTCTCTCTGAGATGCTTAGTGAAACTAAAAGTGTCTGAAGAGGGGGTGGAGCTTCTGTACCTACTGCAAAACACTGCAAAGTTCTGCTACACAGTGAAGCACCAAACATTTACACCATCCGAAACACCAGCTTCCCATCTCAAGCACCCACGTCATCAACTACCACTACACTACTGCTTTAAACCATGACGCTCAAGGTTCCCCTCTAGAGTCAGTTTTGGACGTATGAGTTCCTGCCTGTTACATACAGTGTCAACATAAGCTGCTGTGTTCACAGGAAACTGAGGTTTAGGAAAAGATGGTTTATGGTGCAGTATAAGAGACAAAATTAGGACTACTGAGAGGTCAAAGGAGGCTATATCCTTGCCAACACCAGCTTCTTTTCTGGCTGGTGATAAGCTGGCGCTGGTGACTGACAGGCTGGTTGTGGAAATCAAGAAGCCTAGTATTTATTTGACCAAGGTGGTACCACTAGACCTGTTGGATCCAACCCAGTCTCACTCCAAAGTTGTCGAATGCCGCCGCTTGATCAGTTACTTTCAGTGTCAGACCTCGACGAAAAAGCCATCCGCTGTGACTGTGTAACAACCTCTGGCAGTATCAGGGGGAAACACAGCTGGACAACAACGTAAATTAAGAAGGCGAAGGTCCGAGTAGGGTGTGTGGGAGGGGTGGTGGATGGATCCAACAACCAGGACTTTCACCCAGGAGGCCGATGTTTACTTCCCATAAGATTGTAAAGCCAAACCCTGTTCTTTTTTCCAAAACCCAACCATGTCAACTTGAGATGTTGTACCAACGTAGTGCTTTTATTGTGAAAGAGACTGTATGCAAACGATATATTTCCTGTGAAAATGGAAGTGTATTTTGAAAACAGACAATGTATGCAACAGGTTGAAATTGACACAGCGTCCCAGAACATCAACAACCAACACACCCAGGGTACCTTGCACGTCATATGACGATGTGAAAAGTCGACGTGACGAGGTTGGAGTGAGAGTGGCTTGGCTGAACACTAACCGTTACCAGCTAGTAACCAGCCTTGTAAGCTAATGACCAACCAAGCCAGTAGTTAACCCAGTGGGATGCTAGCCTCGCTGTGCTAGTATCCAACCTCTGAAGCTAATGACCTGCCAGGTAATTAGCTGATCCTGTGGGTTTCTAGGTTAGATACATGAGAAACCACCTTGGTCGAAGCTGGCCTCTAAGTCACTAGCAACACTGGCTTATCATGGGCTAGCTGGCTTTGTCAAGGACATAGCCTCCATTGTCTTCTCAGTAGTCTCGCTTAAATTATGTTGACTTTTGGTTTCGCACGGGACACAAACAGCGGTTTCCTGGGTGACAGTCCTGTTTTCTCACTCTTTATCCTACATCATCTGAAAGCTTGGTTTGTCTCATACAGACACTTAATGGGTATCAGATGTCGAGGGGGCGTGACAAAGCATCTGGGAGTGAGAATAGGTTGAAAAAACCATGTCAGCATACTTTGCCACTTAAATTAATTTTCATTCTGATCCCAAATCAGAGGATGTTTTGTACGGTTGCAAACAGCATTTTCTATTTTAATGTTTCGTGAATTATAATGTGAAAACAAATGTAAATTAAATGTGAATCAGTGCATGTTTCCATCAGTTAATATTAATATATATACACTGTAGTTCATCATGGTATTTCGTTTCCACTCTTTTATGTAACCAGGGTTACCTGCCAGACTCAGTCAGGCGATGTTGCAGTCATGTAGCGTCCTGGAGCACCAGGGTATCTGATGCTCTTTTTTTTCTATATTTGTTCTGGTCTTTCTGCACAGTGGGAGCACGTATGAGTAAATAGCAGCAAGACACGGGGTGCTTTGCTGCAGGTGAAGCAGACTCAGGCACCACATCACAGTTAAAAAAAATCTATTAGCCTTTTTCATACATTCTCTTCATCAATATAGTATTTTTTCTCCTCAGATAAATGTTAAAATCGTCTGCACTTCTCAGTCTTTTTTCATAATTTCTGACATTTCCACTAAAGTGTTTAATGCGCAAATTGAAAATATGCATTAAACCAGGTGGATGGAAACGCTGCTGGTGAAATGGAGAGAGAAAAAGGCAGAGAGACGGTGAGCGCTGCCCCTCAGCTTTTAGTCAGAACACACAATTCAGCATGATTCAACCTCACAACCCTTATTGATGTAATCCCCCCTTCAGCAAGACTCCCAGCAGAAAATGTGTGTGTGTGTTTGTATCTCTGCGTTTGCTCCTTTGGTCAGTTGTGCGTGCAAAAAGATGTTGTGCGTCTGTGTGTGCATTTGTCAGTGAAAAATGCTCATGTCTTTGCAGTCCAGCACAAGAATCTATTAGTAAGCCACGTGGCTGCGTCCTCTAGGCGCATAGGTACACCAAAATTGAAAGAATGCCATGAATTGCAAAATAATGACCAAATTCATTCACAAAGACAACTTTTCAGCAAGCCATGATGCAAAATGAAATATTTCTGTTGCACCATCACAGCCTGCAATAAGCTGTTTTTGGCCATAAAACTAATGTAGCAGTCACAGACATTGACTGCCCTCTAAAATGGAAATTCATAAGCCAAAATGGCACAGTGGGAATATCAAAATATGACATATCCTCTGCTTCTTCTACCCCCCCACTTCTCACTGTCTCTTGCCGCCTCCCCGTCCAATCCCTCCCTCTCTTCTCCAGAGTTTTTCAACAGAGAGCACATCTGCTGTAGAAACTCTTCTGAAGGACATGTCAACCCTCACTGACACAGCTGACTAGGCAGACAGACAGACGGACAGCCAGGCCAACGCTCTGACATCTCTCTCAGTTGGACTGAAGGGAAACAAAATCTATAACTATAGCTTTATTCCATACCAAGGAAGCTAAAATCATAGTGAACAGATCGAGGTAAAGCCGACATTACGAGCCTCATGTGTTAAACTATCACACCTTCACTTCAGATGTTGCTGTAAACTATAAGAGCACCTGAATACTTTGGTGTTGATCTAGACCAGATGTGGTCGGCTTCAACTAAAACAAGTGCAGGACACCACTCAAACATGTGGTTTTCTGGGTCTCAGCAGGCAGACGATATTTGATAACCCACAGATATTCCAGATGGAAACTCCTTCATAAACAAAATGAGCCAAGAGCAAACCCAAGAGTGCAGTCATGCTCAGATTCAGCTATTTCTACATGTGTTAAAAAAATGGTCAGAACACTAAAACACATACATTATAAGAAAGAGTGTGGATGACCCAGTCACTAGAAAAATGTTGGCATTGTCCATTTCTGCAAACCACAGATATGTTACATTTGCATGATATTACCTCGCGGATATGTTGAAACTTTGCGTTGAAACTTTATGTTTCAGCAATGGCACAAAAAACGTTCTCATCCCAGGTCATCACATATCGCCGCCTTGTTAGTGGACTTTCACCTCTACATATGCTAGGTATCCTCCTGCATCTGATCTTGACATTCCTGGACACTGCAACCAATGCTGGGGCTTCAACAAATGTACATGGTTAGCTTTAGAAAAAAAACATCAGTTTGACTCTACATTCATACGGGAAGTGAACAGCGGGCTCCCGGGTCAAACCATTCTCAGTCCGACCTTGTCACATATCAGCGTCTGGTCATGGACTTTCCATGTTAAGCTACGACGTCCACACATGTTACATTTAGTCCAAAAGTCACTTTCAAAAGTGAAAGAACGGCTTTTATCGTCAGTATGTGACGCCAGAGGTCACTGACCAAGTGCTGGTTTTTCAATGACTACGGAGTGAGACCAGCTTGCCCGAGTGAAAGTCCGGGCTTTATTGGACCCATCCACGTCCCCTCTTGCCTGCTCTATAGAGACTTTCCAGCTACTTATATTATGTCATTACTGGCAGTGTTTCAAACTGACGCCATCCAGCAGCGTATCTACCACCACAACAGGTGCCATCCATCTGCTTTATGCACTGACACCGCCCATCCATGAATCATACTGCTGCGAGAGATGGCTTTTGGCGTCAGCTTCTGATCCCAAAATCACTGACCAAGCAGCGGTATTTCACGACTTCGGAATGAAATACTGAAAAAGCAGTGATGTTTTGGTAAAAAAACAACCACTTTTTGTGGCGCTATCACTGCTAGAAACACAGCAATGGGTTGTTAATAACTTCCACATTTTGGGGCTCTAAAGCTGAGGGAAACACAGTGACTGATACCTAAAAAATATCCACATCTGGGGGCTGAGAAGTTGCTAAAAAAGAGCCATGTTTTGTTGTTTGTTTGTCTCGAACAATGGTCTACAGCTTGCCAGGTGTCACGCCATCAACGACCCCCTCCTCCACGCATTTGTGGTTTGCAGAAATGTACCGTGCCAACATGTTCTGGTGACTGGGCTGTTTTGATGCCTCTATGAAGCAACAGGGACTAGAGTCAAATGTTTGTATTGCAATCTGTAACCTCTCCAGATGACTAATAAATCCCCAACAAGCTATTTGAGAAGTGTGTACAGCAATCGGGCTGTGTGATACAATTACAGAAAACTGTTTTTCTACTTTTCTACCCTTGTTCATACCAAATAAAACCAGTTGCAGGTGACCAACACAGCACAAGATCAGCTGCAGATATTCTGTGCCTTTGTCTCAGTAAAACAACCATGCACAACCAAACACACACACAAACACAGCTCTATTTCATTACCCAGTATGGCCCAATTGGGATGAGCTCTCCTGTTTCTACTAGGATCTTGAAGGTCCGTGGTGGAGGGGCTGTCTCTGCCCAGAGCGGGCTCTCTGCCCTGGGATACCCTGCCCTGGGTGCCCCCCCTGCCTGGAGCCGAGGTGGCGGAGCTGCTCCAAGGTTCCCCACCCTCTGTAAGAGATGTGCTTCATTCAGGACCACCAACCAACAGCCATCAGGGGTCATCAGGGTTCACAAAGGTCACAGGGAGGTCAAGATTCCAAATGATAAAAAAGGGGATACTCACAGGTCAAAGGGGGGAAAGGTCAAACAAGAACTGGAAAGAGAGCATTCAGATCATTCAGCTGACGGGCAAGAGTCGCATTCTGGGTGTTGTCCAGGTAGGCAAAGGTAAAAGCACAGGGGGCACAGAGGAGCAAGGTTTGTAATGGTTCCTGAGATTCATAAAAGGAAGAGTTGTGAGACCAGTCCAGAGTGCTGAGGAAAAGAACAAGGAAAGAGGAACTGTTTCCTGTAGCATCGCTGAGGGAGTATAGTTCTTATCTGCAGCAGACACAGTGAGGAGAAACTTTAATTTATCATCAGTGTCAATCAAGGAAACCACAGCTGGTCAAAATCATGCTCTGCACCGACCTCCACAACTGACATCTTTTCACATCAGTGAATCCTGTAACTCTCAAATCAAAGCTGCAAGCACAAATAAAAAGCCAGAGTGCAACAACAGAACAATTTGAGTGGTGTTTACGTAGATTACTCATTGACAAACTGCACAATTGGTGTAGTGAAAGATTGCTGTTTAGCCCACTTATGTGCGAAGAGAGTGTACACACACAACACAATCGATTCAACAGTCACGCTAGCCTCACATGAAACAAGCTTGGAACAGGAGCATCTGAAGCTGCCTGGCAAATTGGGGGCATGCAGTTATAGATTTTTAGTTAGGAGGCCGGTTGTGGATGAAACAAATGCAAATTTATGTATCAATGCCCTCATTTAACATCTCTGAGAGCAGAGACTGGCACAGAACAAGAGCTCAGCTGGATGCTGTTTGTGTGTGTTTTTCGGGTGCCAGCGGGTGCATGCGTTCTCACACATGTGTGGGTGCGTGTACACTTTTGGCTCGTAGTCGAGTATATGTCTGTTTAAGGCTGTGTTTGCTTTTCAGGGATGCTGCTATTCTGTGATCAAAAGAAGAGGCACAAAGGGAGAAGCGAGAGAAAAAGGGGGTGAAGCTATTATTCTCAAAGGGGGGCGTCTGTTAGTTAGAGACGCCGCTTTAATCAGACACACTGTGACTTTCGACAGACATGATCACAGGGGACAGGGTGTAAATTCCAATCAACCAAAGGAGACCTTTAAAAAGTGCTAAGCAGGAAAGTAAAATGTTTACTGCTGTACCACCAGGAAGCAAGAACGTTCTGTAGAAATTACAACGGGGACTTCAAGTTCCCTTTTGCTTACAGAAAACATATGAAGAAGGAACCTCGCCAGACCGCAGGGAAGCTGTGCATGGCGACCACAAGCTCACCCAAATAAACTCTTCATGCATCAAAAACCAACTATAACAAATGACGTGTAACTACCACAATGCTACATGATCAAGAATTTCGTGGACGCGAGTTACACCAGGACCCAGCGGAGCAAGCATGTATAATACCATCATGATAGCACTTCTATTCCGTACGGGCATAAAAACACTTCACTTCAATGAGTCTGTAAAATAAGTGAACCAGATGCAGTGACAAAAACACCACACTACATCACACTGTGGCATTGCATTGTTGGACAAGGCGCAGCCATGGAATACACCGGACCAGATCACACCCATTGAGTCGCATCTGGTTGCTAGACTCAGCTGAGACTCCAGATGAATGACGCCCCAGAAACAGGCCAAATAAACTGGCCATCACTGGGCCATCATCAAAAATGAAATGACCCAGAATTGAATCAGCCCAAACTCAGCATGACCGAAGACATACCTTTAGCCGAACCTAGTTGCCCGACTCAGATGAGACTCAGGATAATGACACCCCAGAATTAAGCCAAACAAACCGGCCTGATTTCGGCAGCAGACACCGCCATCACTGGGCCATAATCAAATATGACCTTGCCTAAGCATCAGGCCAAACTCAAAGTTGAGTCATGTCCTGTTGCTTGACTAGGCTGGGACTCAGGATGAATAACTCCCCAGAATGGGGCCAACAAAACTGGCCCAATTCCGGCTGCCGATACTGCCATCATTGGGCCATTATCAAAAATGGCCGCCCAGAATCAGCCCAGACTCAGCACGCTGGAAGAGATAAGTTGGGCCACATCCAGTTGCCCATCTCGGCTGAGACTTGGGATGAATGATGCCCCAGAACTGGGCCAAATACACCCTCTAGATTCCGGCTGACAATGACCTGACAAAAACTTCTCTCAAACTTGGCTTGCTGAAAGAAACAAGTTGGCTCACGTCCAGTCACCCTACTCAGCTGAGACTTGGGATGAATGACGTCCAAGCATGGGGCAAAGTAAACAACCCAGTTCCTGCTGCCAACACTGCAGTCACTGGGTGGTGATGGTTAACTGATTCACTGGATTTTGAGCATGTTTCAATATTGTAATTATATTATAATTACTGTTTTGTTGTTGGACAGTTTTTTAACCACATGCATAAATTGTCCAGGTGCTGAACTAACAGAGGTGGCTTGTATAACAGTGTGACGTTACATTCCCTTCATAAAGACAAAGAAGTTGCTTCTCCTTTGGTACTGTAATATCATTGCTGTTGATGTCTGACAGTGAAAGCTGGCTCTTGTGGATTTAAACAATATCTATGATACAATAAGAGTCGAGCAGAAGAGGTCAAACAGTGACACCGGCTGAGAACGAGACATTCCAACAATTTTAAGCAGTGGAAGAAGCATAACTTTACAAATCCACCTCGGTAAAAGGCTGAAACAGTATAGCTCAGTCCAGTCCCGTTTACTTGGTAGAGTATGAAATTCTATTAAGACACAACAGCACAAGTGAAAGCCCTGACGGCCAGAGCCGAGGCAAGTTAATCCTGCGAGTTGACTGGGTGCAGCTGAGGGCTTAGAGCAGCGGCTTAACACAAGGCCGTGGCTTTGGAGCACCTGCCAGTGGTCAGTCATGCCTCAGCCGGCTGAGAAAGACAGGACGTGATTATAACACGTCATAATTAACTACACTGTACTAAAACAATCCTCTCTTCATTGTTGACTGAGACACAGACGAGCCTTTAAACATTAATCTATTGACTGTCAGATCAAGAGATGCAGAGACATTATGTTAAAACTAAGAGTTAAGTTCTAAACAGTGTTTACAGGACTAGATTTAAATGTGAAAACAGTCTACATGTTGTAATATACTGAAACACTGCGGACACAACAGTTATATTAACATCCATGTTTAACTAAACAACTTCAACCTAGATGTCCAGGTTAAAACTGAGCTAACTGAGTGTAACAGATTACTTATAAAATGTCTGTAATAACATCAGTTACCCAAAAACCAAATAACTTGAATACAACATTTAATCAAATCAGCAGTTTCATATTTGTAATTGTCATATTGCACATGCACATCACAAAGCAGCAAGATACTTTGGGAGATAGAAACACTGACATTCAGCAGCTGGAAATATTCTCATTACTTTGATTTTGTCAGGAGGAAAGTGACACAAGCATCGTTGCTCTGGGATGTGGTACTGAGACCAACCAAACCAAACCACCTGAAACACCTTCTATGACATGAAGCTCCAGGAAATACACCCCACCAAAGGTGAGCCCTCCTTGGCTGCAGGGGATGGCTGAAGCTCTACACTGCCTCAACAACCCAAACTGGATTTTAATCGTGGACAGCTGCAGGCTGCAAGGGGCAAAGAACTACTGAAGCTTGTGGCTGGATGAAATGTTGCGTATCTTCACAACTGACTCTCCATCTTTCAGACAGGTCCTTGGGAAAAAGAAAACCCCCACAACCCAGTCTCACTCCAAAGTCATCAAATACCAGCACTTGGGCAGTGACTTCTGGTGTCAGACACTGACGAAAAAAGACTGCCTTTCACGCGGCATGATAGGCGGCCGATCACCGTTATTCTATAATGGTGCCTGGTGGCACCAGGAGGAAACACAGTGGGGCAACAAACGTAAGTTACAGGTGCAAAAGTCCAACTAGGGTAGGCGTGAGGGGTGGTGGATGGGTCCAACAACCACCGACTTTCATCCAGAAAGCTGTAAGATTATAAAGTTGTTGTTTTTTTCTAAACCCAACCACGTGCTTTTATTATTAAAGGGAAAAAAGTCAATTCACGAAAGAGACTGTATGCAAACTGCACATATCCTGTGAAGTGTATTTTGAAAACAGACAATGCATGTAACAGGCTGAAGTTGACACGGTTGTCCCAGAACGTCAACAACCAACACACCCAGGGTACCTTGCATGTCATATGTGGACGTTAAGAGTCCATGACCAAACGTCGATATGTGACGAGGTCGGAGTGAGAATGTGTTGGCCCCTAAGGTAAATGATAGCTATCTTACATTAGCCTTAGGCGCTTATCACAGAGGCGAGAATGTGAAGTCTCATTTTTAAGGAAAAAGGACACAATTACCAATTTTGTGGGGTGTAGAGAAAAGTAATACGAGTAGGGTATCGAATTACTGTTGGCAGGGAGTGTGCGCCCCATCGAGTAAATGGCAACAGTAAAAGGACTACACCTTTCCAGTGTTCCAATCACTCAGAGTGCTTCTACACTACGTGTCACATTCACCCATTTACACAGACATTCACACACTGGTGGCCAAGACGACTATACATGTTGCAACCTCACCTCAACCTCTCACACACCAATGGAACAGCCATCGGGAGCGAATTGAGGCTCAGGGATACTTCAACATGCGGGCTGGAGGCTCTACTTCTGAGCCACGGCCGCCCTACAAGAGGCTGAGTCCAAGTTCCTTTGCAGTGTTGCGAGTTCAATTCAAACCTGCAACCTGCTGCGTGTCGTCCCCATTCTCTATCCCCCTTTCCTGTCTCTCTAGTCGTACTGTAATAAAGGTAAGATGCCCTAAAAATAATCTTTAAAACAAAACAGTATCAAGTAATGAATAATAAATTACATTTTTTGAGTAACAAGCTCAACACTTGTTACAAACAACCACAGT